GGAGTATGTCTGAGGATCTCGAATTTGCCGTGTCATTCAGCCACCTAACTATATCACGCCTTTCCGTTGTACTCGGAACAAAATTCTCCCCTTCACCCATTCAGTTTGAGCCAAAGAAGTTTGGCCGACAACGAAGTTAAATCCTCAGATATAAACTTTCCTCTAAAGATGAGATTTCTTAGCCGATGTTTGATTAATTTCTTCGTATCACAACATGGAACGCTTATTCCGAAGATATTCCACAATATTAATAGTATTGTAAAGAGATATTAAACAAATAATTGAGTTGATTTGTAATAGAATATAATATAAGTGGAATATTTTAATGTTATATATTAAGTGGAGGGAAGGAATAGGAGAATTGATATAGAATATAGGATATATATATATATATATATATATATATATATATATAGATATATATATTTCGATGTTTCGTATAGAATATTATCGATCGCTCGTGGCAACTGTGCATCAGTTCGGCGCTTGCCGCGCTATAGATCGAAAACTATTATTCCCATGAAAAAAAGTTTAATATAAAATTTGTAGAGAATTTTATGCTCTACAAGATTGATAATAACTATTTTCAGTGTGCGATTTATCGTTAACGACATATTTTGCAAAAACTATTTTCACAAAATTTTGACGCGCTGTAGCTCGAAAAATATCCATCCTACAGAAAAAAGTTTCAAATAAAAAAGGTGGAGAATGTTATTCTCTACAAAAATGGTTATAACTATTTTTGTTATAGGATCAATCGTTTATGAGATATTTGGCAAAAACTAATTTCCAAAATGGCGGCTGAAGCATAACCCCCTCCGCCGCGCCAACTTGCATTTACGCTCAGGGCGCACCCCTGAACAATTTCTAAAAGGAAAATCATTTGCGTAGAATTTTACAGGAAAAACCTATATTTTTATACCTGGCTCCTGAACTAAAGAGTGATGAAGCGATTCGTTCTTTCTTCAATGTTCGAGAGATTTCCTCGAGAGAAAATTACACGCACCGGGCTCGACGTAATCGATCGGAAATCTTGCCGTGTACGAATATTCTGCGAAGAGCGCACCGGAAATCTTGCTGACGCAGTCACTCTGTGCCCTCACGGAAATCTTGCCCACGATCGGTGGAAATCCTGCGTTGCGAGGTGCACGCGCTAACGCGTAAACTCGTGAGACGCCCGGAGAAGGCGTAAGCGTAATAATGATTCGAGAGCGGCGCCGCACTGCTCAACGATTATTCCACGCACACGCGAAAACGGTGGAAGAACACAGCACGAACGATTCTCGCATGATAATCTTTAAAAAGTTCACTTACCTAGCCAGCGCTCCGAGCTCCGATGGCGGCTAGAACGATCGCTCGCGATAAACGAGGATGAGGACGCGTAACAATAACGCGACTCTTCCCGGGGTTGAGGCGCTCAATAACGAATTCGCGAGACGGCCGATTAATGGCGCAGAATGCGACGAAACGAGAACGAGCAGGATTTGATAAGAGTTGAAATCGAGAGAGTCCGTAAACACAACTTATCCTTTTCGGAGTCCGCACGGAAGAAAGCGATTAATTGCCACGAGGAGCTTCGTTTCCGTGATAAGGACTGCTAGGAGGGGGTGAATTCTACACGTGGCGCTCTTTGATTGATTCGCGGATCTATCGAGTTGCGCAGGATATGGAAACGCCGCGGCCGCGAGCTCTGCGCGGGTCCTGCGTTGCGTAATCATCGAATTTTCGGTTACGCGTGCGCTTAACAGTTCCTGCTCAGTACGCGTATCACGAAAGTACCGAGGTTCACGGCACCCGGGCCGATTCAATAGATTCCTCAATCGAAATCTCGCGGCTGAGCGACTCAATCCCGAGGCGTTCCTTAACAGCAATAGATTGATTATAAATGTTGTGTATAAATTTCAACTGCGCAACATGCTACATTTTTAAAATTATTTAAGAGATTTAACAGAAAATATTTTTTAATATAAAATAAAAATTAATTGCCTAACATGTTTTAAAGAATTATACAAGAATTTTTAAATAAATTATATCTATTATTTTGCATATAAAGTCAGTTTATCATTTTGTACATGTAAACACAAAGTTATAAAAGATTAATAGTTTTCATTAGCGAAATATAATTTATAAAACGTAATTTTTTAAAATCTAGATATAGGAATATGTTTATGTGTAAAACAAATAAAAAGAAACATTTTTGTAAAAGAAATTATGTTGTTCCATGTAAGAATGTCAAAATGACTTTGACCTTTTACCAAAAAAAAGATTTTGATTATCTTTCTGTATGTGTGTGTATAACGCGCACGCTAAGCTTTTGTTAAATGTTCGAGAACAAAATATTTTTATGCTACAATCTTTTTCTTGTTTCATCAATTTAAAACAAATAAATAATCTAAGAAACCGTAGAAATGTCTTTATAAAAAAGTCTATGTATTCAGAAATATTGAAAGTTTTAGCAATAAATTAAAATTATACTTACTAATTTGGTTTCCATATGACTGTAATATCTTTTTCATTTAGTTTCAGAACGCTACATACGCCGAGCCTTCTATACTCCGTCCAAAGAGAGAATGACCTCGGTCCGCGCATAAGCGGGCAAAGTGGGGAGAACATGGCGAGATACTCAATACCGTATACGTAGATACGGCTTCTGTGGGTGGAGACCTGCGCGAAACGGACGAGTTTTCGTTTGGACCGAAGTCATTCTCTCTTTGGACGGAGTATAGCTACGATGTGATACGCGATAGTCAATAGATATGTACGAAAACGTCCTGAAATCTATGTTACATTATATTAAAAAACTTGTATATTGAAGATTTATAAGATATAAAAATTATAATTATATTTGCACAACACATAACAAATTATTCTTATAATTTAAAAAAATTTAGAATAACTTACATATTTTATATATTTGGCGTCGAGATCTAATGTCATTAATAATTGATACAAATTATGGATTTCTAACTCGGAGAATATATATTCTTCGAGAATACACATAATTTGCTTGGATTATGTTTCATTCCAGAAATTGTTTTCAATATTGTTATCTCTCCAAAAAGAAAATTGCTCTGAAGTCATAGAGCAAATCGAATGAGCTGGATATTTATTTTTCAGACGAGATAGTACTGTCTCCGCTATACTATCTAACCAGGTTTTTACAACCAAATAAGACACATGTGGCTGAAAATATTGTGCCACAATCGTAAGTTCTTTTTTTAAAAGCGATTTTGTCTTCGGCATATTCATAAATTTCATTTGCTTATGTATAAATCGATACTGTTTCAGATAGTAAAAAATCAACTTGAAGTTATATTCACGTGTCAAATTAGAAAATAATTGGCTGAAAAAAATTTACACATTAATTATACAATAATTACATTAATTTATAATATCAATAACAATTTAATTTATTGAATTTTTTACCATGATTTTTGTGCAGAAATTCTATTTATCTCATCCCATACAAAATAATATGTCATAGAATTTTCAGCAATTGAACGCAGAAGACACTCCAATTGTTTTTTATCAGTATCATGTAATGTATTTCCCGACATTACAAACACATAATATTTTAACATTTGGATACAATATAATCCTGCTTCTATTTTTTCTTTGAAATTGATATAATAAAATATTTTCTTTTGTCTTTCTTTGTTATACTTTTTCTCCGCAGTAGGACAGCTAAAATTAAGAAAGAAAATTCTCAAAAATTATATTAAACAACGCTATAATATATATCAGCGCGCAGTAAAATTTAGAAAATATTCATTTTAAAGTACATATAAATTTTATAATTATATATAAATTAATTATTAAAAAATTCATAACAAATTAAAAAATTCATAAATAACAATATACGTGCAGATTCTTCTATTAAAAAAAAAGATACAATTAAATCTTAAAAAAAAAACTATAGTTATCACAATAATAATGTATAGCAATTTGTACGATATAATTATATGCACAATAGGTTATCGATCTGCTGCGATAATTTCGTATCATTTAAGTTTGTTATTTTAAATCAGGACCGAACCGAAACCAGAATTGATAACCGTTTCATATAACCGTTTTTTAAATAGAACCTAAACCGTAAACCGTATTGAAATTTTGTTAAATTTATAACACCGGAACCATAACCGGACCGTTAAATTATTTTCGGTTTACGGTTCTTTTCCGTATCTTTTCGGTTCTTGTAATTTATTTCTACAAAATATTTTTATATTACTAATTTAAATTTTTTGTCGTTTTCTTGGCTGGGTGTCATCGGAATAATAAATCTGATGACAATAAAATTTTCAAAAAGTCAAAGATGGAAGAAATAATGAATAAAAAACAATAAGTGCATAAAAATAATTACTTTTAGAATTAAGTTTTTGTATTTTCAAGAAAATAAGAAAATTATTTACATTTGATATTACTTTTTTCTTTATTTTATAATAAAATATATATAAAAGAAAAAAAGAAATAAATTTAATAAATTCTGTATTTTTACATAAAAAGAACAACAATATATTTGCTAATAAAAAACAATATAATTTGTTAGAAAAAGACTAGAAAGACAATAATTTTTAAAGAACCGGAACCAAAAAAACCGTAATTTTAACGGTTTCGGTTTCCTTTATTTATCAAGGAACTGAAACCGAAACCGGAACAGTTATTAAATATTTTATTAAACCGTAACCGAAACCGAACTCTAATTTTGTTTCGGTCCAGGTCCCTGTTTTGAAACATATTTAAATGAGATAAATTGAGTGTGTAAAAAGTAATTGTGTAAGAATATTTTTCATTCTACATATGCCATTAAAATAAGAATAAAAACTGGAAGAAAATTTTAAAATAAAAGAGATGTTTTCACACAATCTTTACAATCTCTCCAAGTAATTAAAATTGATTGCATATAATGCTTTCTAAAATTGTAAAAACCATAAAGTTTCAAAGTTTCAAAAAAAAAAATACGGTTACATCATAGGTTTCAAAAGATATAATTATTTATGAAAGGTAAAAAGAATATTTTATAAGCCAAGTTTAAAACAAATAAATGTTAGAAAAGTGTTTGAATATAATTATCATATTATTGCAAATTTTAAAATTAAAATATAAAAGATCATAAAAGCACTTTAATTTTATATTCATTACGTTTAATACTATAAATATAAAATAAACTTCTTTATAATCACAAAATCAAAATAATACAAAAATAAAAAAGCTCACTAATATAATAGTAAAAAAATTGTATTGCGACTTATATTTTAAATAATTTATTTAAAAAAAACACATTTTTAAGCATGTTATAACCAAAGAAAATAATAAAAAATAGGATAATTTTTATACTCATAATTTAATAATAAAACCTAGGTAAAGAAAGATTAAAATTATAATCTATAAAAACAATGAGTAATTGACTACGAGCAACAGCAAGCTATCTTTATCGAACGGCGCAAAACTTGAAATTGATCGAGGTTATCGTGAGTCGTCGAACCTTTAGATTAGTTTAGATGCATGAAGAAGTCTTTACTAAATCTTAATTTTTTTACTAAAATTGTAATAAATTGTAACATCAGAAACAGTTTTAATATGCAATAAAAAGCATCAGGTACAACTTAAATTGAAAAAACAACAGCACATAACTTTAAAAAGAAATAAATTTATGTTTAAGGCTTTAAAGATAAAAGTCCGTTAAGATTGAAATTAAATGGCAATACGAGCCAAGCGCAGTACATGGGGCGCATACAAATTTATTATAAAAACACATCAAAACAATATGTAAATTTGCGAAAAGCAGACGTTTCGGCCCCTTTTTGGGCCATCATCAGCGTACGGACTTAATAGTAGAAATTATAATAATATAAAAACTTTTTAGAAATAAAATACCTCTTATAAAATTTCTTTTCACACAATTTGTTGTCATGTATCAATTGTTGGAATCTTGTACACGTGGAGCCAAATCTCATTAAATCTACGCTGCTGATGCTCTCATTTCCCAGAATGTGAACAATCACGTCATAAGGCAACTGCGTTATTGTAGCCATCGCAAAAAAACAAACAATGCACAAAAAAGCTTACAACAAACGTTATTTAACGGCTTTGTATCACTAATTTCACTAATATCACTAATTTCACTAATATCACTAATTTTAAATTTATTTTTATATTTATATATATATATATATATATATATATATATATATATATATATATATATATATATATATATATATATATATATATATATATATATATATATATATATATATATACAAATGTAAGCGCGAGAGTTTGTTATAACTTTTTCTTGGTCTTATCGCAATGTGTGTACTACGACCACTGTCTTTAAAGTTCACCTACGGTTGTCTAAAACCGTAGATACAGTCTTTCTCCGAGTTACAAATGCTTTAACTTTGACTAATGACCAATGAACAATAACCAATCTGGACACACGAAAAGAACAAAAATATTCCCTCTTTGTCTCTGTCAATATATGAGCAATGGTTGAAGACATGTATGTATAACATTTTTCTAGAAAACACTTTCTAAACTATCGCTATATAATAGAGAGAAAATTTATGACTTACGACTTAAATAGCTTTCTTTTAATATTATTTAAATTAAAGACCGTTTAAGCTTTGTCAGGTAATTTATTTATTTGCTAATTTGAATAGTATGTAACGTAGTCGAGTCATTTCAAGAAATGTTATAAACTTTCGTTACTGCTGAGATTGGACAATAATTTTAAATTAACATTTTTCATTTGTTTTTACTATTTTCTGGGTTTTTTATTCTTACAGTTTTTTTTTTATTTTTATATAATGATATTTTGTATTTACCAGACGTTTTA